TGCCGTGGCTGTAACTGGAATGGGAGGCGCTGGGAGCACTCGCTGTTGGCACTTCTCTCCACCCACGATCTCAGCCATCCTTCCATGTAGGTTCTCTGTGCTCACACTGGCTGTTCCTTCCCCTGCCCACCTCCCAACAGGCAGTGAGTGTTGATGCTGCTGGTGGACGAGCTTCAGGAGGCCCTGGGGTTTGGAACCCAAGGGTTTGGAACAGACTGGATGTGATTCCCAGCAAAGCAAAGCGACCCGGCGACATGAACTAAAATAGATGATGCTTTTAAGCAAATTGACAGAGTACCGGATGAGGGAATTAGCGGACTGCATCATTCTTTTCAGATGTTATTACGTACATTCTATGTTATTTTAAAACGCCCCGCGCTGGCCACACGCTATTTTTCTTAGTGTATTCAGACAGGTGTGTGATTTCCCAGGAGTATCGTAGCTCAGCCCTCCCTCTTTGGTTTAATTAACTTGAGGAGAATATTTTGAGAGGATTTTTTTTTCAGTGTAACAGATTATTCCTTATGACCTCTTTGCCTCTCAGTGCTGGTGGGACCCGCCTGGACCTCACGCAGCGCTGCTCATCTGAGGCCATTTCTGCTCTGCAGAGCTGCGCAGCTGTGGGCGCCCACTGCTTTTGGCCCTGATGGGCTTCAGACTTTCTTTTGTGGGTTTTGTTGTAAAGAACAGAGCGGCTTTAGATATCGTAGAATCATATCAGAGGATCATAGAATGGCTTGAGTTGGAAGGGACCTCAAGGACCATCGAGCTTCAACCCCCCTCTCCTGCAGGTGGGGATGCCAACCTCGACATTTAACGCTATCCCAGGCTGCCCAGGGCCTCATCTGACCTGGCCTTGAACACCTCCAGGCAGTTGAAATAAAGATGGGATGACACAATAAAAATCAGTTTTAGAGCAGTGGGCCTTCTAGGGGAAGGGTTTTTTCCTGTCATCCGGGGGAAAAAAAAGCTCTCTTTTGTTGCTGCAATATCTGCAATTCCCTTTTGGCAACCAGAGCTCCCTCGGCAGTAAAACATAGTTTTCATTAAATGATATGTCTGACATTTACCAAATCTTTATGGACAATTTAGAGGGAACTAGTTGCATTGAGCAGCCTTATTAATATTGCAGTAACATGATTAGGGGAACATCGCGGTCATTTGGGCCGCGGGGGCTTTAATTTACGAGCACAGCAGAGAGGCGGATATGAAGCATCAGCTGACCGAAATATCTTAACCTTAATTTGTTTTCTCTTTGCTCTCTCCTTGTGTCTGTTCCACGCTCACAACAAGATGAGCCGCTTTAGGTTTTCATTATCCCAGAAAATAACTTGATTAAAAGAACCAAACAAAAACCCCTCCAAATGGGGCTGGGAGGCGGAAGAAGGCGCACGCAGCTTCGTTCGGCCCCGTGCTGGGGATCCCTGCAGAGCCCAGGGGGACACACTTGAAAATAAGCCTGGCGTGGAATTTGGTGTCTCTTTCCGGGCTGTAGCAGGAACAACTTGGGCAAAAATAGCTCTTCTACTGCTGTGCCCATTTATCTGAGAGCTGTGGTGGTAAATAACAGGAGGAGAGAGGGAAGCATCTCAAATCTCATCAATACTTAAGACAAAAGGCTCTCTGCTCTGCAATTACTCTTCCTGTCCTTTTCCCTCCTTCCCCCAGGCCACAAACAAGCAACCTAAATAGAGATCAGGCAGCTTTTAAATGCCACAGACTCATAAAAGAAGGAAATTCAAAGTTGTAACAGAGCCTTCTCTCGTTGCATGCTTGGTGCTATTTTGGGCCATCAGCAAGTAGGCTATCCTGCAAGCTCCACGCAGTGGGACCAGCAATAATTGCACCAGCTGTGGCAGCGCAGTGCCCTGCTGTGAGCTCCAGCCCTTCCCTGCTGCTCTGCCACTCAGCTCTGGGGCAGCCTGAGGGCCGCGGGTGCTGGGGATGGGCAGCTGCACAGCCCCATTAAAATGCTCTTTGATTATCTTCAGTTTTGTCCTGCATTCATGAACAGAGCACTGTGGAGCTGCAGATTAGCTCCTAATCAAATTGCTGTTATCATTCCAGTTCTGCTTCTTGCTGCTGTGGTTCCAGGTGGAGTTTTAGCACGCAGGAGAGCAGTTGCTTTTTGTGACTGATGCCACACACAGGATCCCGCCTTACTTCAGATGCAGACTTCTCACAAACGCCTCTGGAGCGGACTGGTGGGAAATTACAGCCGCAGAGCAGTTGGTGCTGAAACTTACAGCTCCTTCCCCCCTTCTGCAGAGGTGCAGGTGAAGCCTTTGCATTTGGCTTTAGCAGTAACACCTCCAGAGGAGACCTGAGCTCTGCGCCCGCTGTGTGCCCAGTGCTGCTATCAGCCCTCGATCTGCCGCGTCCCGCAGCAGCCATCAATTTATTGCTCTTGGCTGTGCTTGAGCAAGAGAGATAAGCGCAGGAGATCTTCCCTCTCTATTTTTTCCTACAGGAAGAGAAATATAGCAGCAATGTATATCAGGTTAGAATTGCCTCTCGTTTTATGAAGATATCTTTAGAAACCAGCTGTTTTCCACGAGCGTTAAACTGCCTTGATACACTGCTATCAGAATCGACAGCTCCAGAGATTTCCAAGAGATTTTGTTCTATCGTGTTTTATTTTATTTTGTGTAAATTTCGTTAACTGCTTTCCAGTGACCTCTGACTGTGTTCTTTTTTATCACAGAAATAAAAGAACAAAAAACTGATTTCAGCCTTGCAAAATCCCAGCAAGGAGCAAGGTTGCGCAGCTCAACCTTGTGGTCTCTCCACTCCTCATCCAAAATGAGGAGTATTTTACTTCCATGTCAACATGTTCAAGACCTCCAAGCAGGCCCTAGGACTTGTCTCAGTCAGTCAGTGGACTTGCTGTCTTCTTTACAGGGAGGAGGAGAGGATGAGTTGCTGGGGAGCGCCTGAGGTTCTGTTGCAGGTTATAGTAGGGTTAGGGTTATAAATGTTTGCATATGCAAGAAAAAATCTGTTATTTCTGTACTGATGATGGCTTGTATTTCAGCTTTATGGAGGTACCCATGCCATGCAGGCTGTGATCTAAAGGACTTTTTTAAATTTCATGTATTTATTTATTTCCACCCCTTTCATGGGCTGCTTCCCTGAGACGGATAACTGGGTTGACTGTTTTGTTGTGAGGATCAGCTGGCACAAAACCCTCTGCTTCCCACTGCTAGACGTGGCTGTGGATACACAAACTGTTGTTACACAGTAAGAAGGAAGGGGACAGACTCTTCAGCAGGCCCTGCTGTGATAGTCCAAGTGGGAATGGTTTCCAACTAAAAGAGGGGAGATTTAGGTTGAATATAAGGAAGAAGTTCTTTACAATGAGGTGCTGAGGCACCAGCACAGGGGGCCCAGAGAGGTGGTGCTGCCCCATCCCTGGGCGTAGCCAAGGTCAGGCTGCAGGGCTCTGAGCACTGGTGGAGCTGTGGATGTCCTGTGCATTGCAGGAGTGGGACAGTGTGACCTTTCAGGGTCCCTTCCAATTCAAATGATTCTGTGATCCTACGCAGATTGTCTGGGGAGGGGAATACTGTGTTTTAGTTTGGGTTCCAGGAATGAAGATTTCCCTGTGATCACAAACACCTTTTCTTGTGAGCTGAGTTCCCGTAGTGTTTGTTGGGCTCTGAATGCATCCCATCCAAACTTGGTGCTTCTTCCACGTGTGAACTAATAGGAATGCAAGTGAGAAACCAAACACGTCCTGGAGCCGCTCTGTGACACAGCGACAAGGATGCAGCAAAACAAAGTATCCATCATTACTGCCTTCTAAACTTCCTGCAGTTCTGCTGTGGTCACGAGGCAGAAGTGTTCCTCAGGAAGGGCGTCCCACCATCCCTCACCAAAGCCTCTTGCTGGTATGGGCAGCGTACCTTTTTAATAGAAGTCCCTCTCCTCCCAGTTCCAGAAGAGGAAATAAATGCACAAATGTATAGGAATGTGCAGTACGTGGACACAAAGGTCTGTTGTGACGCAATGTTGTGCTGTTTCTCTGAGGGAAAGCAGTGTAACAGAGGGTTCCCTTTCCCTGGAAGGACCCTGTTTGCTCACTGTGTGTCTGTGGGTTCAGGAGCTGTGCTTTATCGCGTGTCTCCAGCCAAGGACTGCCTATGGAAGTTGTTTATTGCAGCTGCTGCTAATGTTGTTTTTCTTTCTGTTCTTGGTGTTCTAAAACAAAATTACTGTGACTAATGTACCACTGTAAATTTCTGCAGCATCTACAGTGCTGCTGTCTGCGTGTGATGCATGGTGTCTTTTTAGTGTATTTTTTTAATATTTCAGCAGAGATGCCCCTTTTGTGTGTTGGCTTAGCAAATGGCAAAGCACTTCTGTGAAATGCAGTGCAGCAAGAAGGCGTTAAGTCCTGTCTGCTGGACAGATGTCCGTGTTTCCTTACTGATACCCTAAAGTGTCAATGTGCTTCTTAAGAGGAAAATGTTTTCATACATCTCTGAAGTCACGTTGCTCAAAAAAGAGAAAGTTATCCCACGTCTGACATCGATCTGAGTGCAACCAGTGAAAGTGATGTATGAACTGACGCTTTTCAGCTCCTGGTGCTGTGTGAGAGGCACCGGTGTGACCTGACCCTGCACAGGCACTGAGAACAGAGATTTCTCCCCCCCAGAATAACGCCTTTTTATCTCTGCGCTTTTCTTTCCTTCTAATTTTCAGTTTGTATTTGAGCCCAAGAATAGCAGCCCTTGCAAAGTCATCGTCATTCTTATTTCTTCCTTCTTTTTTACACCAGCCGTTGGCACTTTGTTACACGCTGGACACTAAAGTAAAACTTGGCAGGCTGTGAAACATAGTTAACCTGATTCAAAGCGGCGAAAGGTGAAAAAGAAAGAGGTGCCAAATATGGAATATTGCTTTTCTACAGAGACTTTCCTCGCTCTGCAGCGCGCTGTTTCATAAGTTCTCTTGGAGTGTTTTTTTGCTTTATCTCATTCTTTGTTTCTGGTTTGCAGACCGCAGAATGGTTCTATGATCCTGTATAATAGGAAGAAGGTGAAGTACAGGAAAGATGGGTATTGCTGGAAAAAAAGGAAAGATGGGAAAACCACCCGAGAGGATCACATGAAGCTGAAAGTCCAAGGAGTGGAGGTAGGAGAACTTTGCAAGTATTCTCCCTTTTTTTTCACGTGGAAGCTGTGTGTTTGTGATTGATTCTCACCAAACAGGTAATTTTCACAGTAATTGTCATCATTTTGCATATGCTCATTAAGAGTTACTCTTAGAATGTGCAGAAATAGATTTTCTATTGAATTTAGACCAGAATCAGACTCTGCTTGAGAGAATGTTTTGAAAGAGACTGTTGCTCTACTGATGTTCCTTAGCAACTCAAAAAAAATCAGACGGATCATTTCACCTGACGCGGTGTTTCTGGAACGAGCCTGTTTGTTCTAAAATATGTCACCGTTTGACATAACCATTCTCTTACAATCTGTGTGTGAGAAATGAGCTATTGGATCGCATCAATCACTTCTGATGCGCAGATGTGGATTAAAAAAATGAGGGTTTTTAATTTTTTTACTGTATTAAATGGGAATTGCGTGTTCTGGAGGTTGGAGTCCTGATGCAAAGTTGGTTCTTAAGACAACAAGACTGTTCCCTGCGTTAATGCCGACCTTTGGGCCAAAAGGATGAGGAAATGTTCGGCAGCACGGTGTAGCTGTGTTACCCAGAAATGCTCTGATTTCAGCAAATGAATAGTGAAGCTGTAAGGGTATATATTTGTATAAGCTGTATTGATTTTTGTAGTTAATAGACTGTGAGCACCACTATGGATCTGAGGCTGCACCCGTTTGTGCAGGCACAGCACAGAACAGTTTGTGGCGTTGCGAGGAATTGGTGCTGCTGAAGGGCCAGCGAGGTTCTGCCCACCCTGGGGTGGGAGCAGCAGCTGCACGGCGGCCTTGTGCTCGCGTCACATCACACAGAATCACACAGAATCACCCGGGTTGGAAGGGACCTCAAGGATCGTGTAGTTCCAAACCCCTGCCTAGCAGGGCCACCAAACATACACATTTAGATCAGGTTGCCCAGGACCCCGTCCAACCTGGCCTTGAACAGGTCCAAGGACGGGGCATCCACAACCTCCCTGGGCAGCCCGTTCCAGGCCCTAACCACTCTCCTTGTAAAGAAACATCCGCAGAGCTGCGTTCAGCATGCGCTGCTCCCAGCAGTTGGGTGCATGGAATGCATTCCGTGCTCACGCTCCCTTCTAGGCAATTTGTCATTCTTACATTCTGTCTGTTTTAATGAGGTTTTTGGTTTTAAAATAGTATTAAATGGATTGCGTTATATTACACCAGGGAGACATAACTTTGTTCCATAATTTTTACATCCAATAACAATGTTTTATTATGACAAGCCAAAAAAAAAGTCAGCATAATAGAAATTGTAGTTTGTTTTTGTTTAGTGTTTGCAGAACGGGATTTAATTAAGTTCCATGAACTTTAACAATGCAGAATACCAAAACCTGCGCCGCAAACTTCAGCTGTAGGACAGCAACCTTTGACAACCACACATATGCATTCTTCAGTGAACACTTCCTGATGGCTTTTTTTTTCTAAATAGGGTGATCAGCCATTAGTGCCTGACTTCTTGTATGTCTGCACCTACCGCACTGAAGTCAAATACTTCTACTCTGAGTGCAGTAATTCCTATTTTGCTGCTTCTAGAAGGTAACACACCTTTAATGGAATGTACAAAGGGTCAGAGAATGCACCAGTTTGAAGTTTCTTTCAGTGGTCAATCACTTTCACCACTTAAGAAAATAAGGGTCATAGTGATTTCCTTCTGATTTGAATGTGTCTGAGTTCAGCCACTCATTCTTATGTCTTTCTCCACTTTAAGAGCCTCTTAGTACTTTATATTTAGCCTCCAAGGAGATACCTGTGCCCTCTATCCAACCTGTCTTTCAGACTTCTTAATGTGAAGCCTAATAGGCAGAACCTGGGCCTCCTTGTTGTGATAAATGTGGGACTCACTCTGTGCTGCAGTGCCAGGGGTCTCCCAGCAGGTAACGCAGTGCACAAGCACGGATCTGGTTCCTGCACCAATGCTGTGGACAATTAATGGGATTTTCATCGGGCCCCCAAACTGGTGGAACACAGTTTCTACATAATTCTATGCATTAGGTAGCAAAAGGGGGAGTATCAGAATCCAGATTGATCATTTAAGCGTTGAAAAGAAATGGACGTTTTCTCCCTCAGGGCATCAGAACACGCAAAGGAAGCGATGATTCAGGTAGAAGTGATTGATGTCAGGAGAAAATAAACCCACCTGAACAACCAAAGAGAGATTCAGGTCCCAGTCAGAAAGTTAACTCCAGCATACGTTTGGAGCTAGGAGAGCTGGATCCATTGTGGAAATCTCTCCTGTACTTTGAGTACGTCCCATTCGCTTGTCTTTCAGCTTTGCTGACTTAATTCCAGCTGAAACAGGCAAAAATGAGTGCTAATAAGTAACAGTCTGGGTCTGGTGCACCATTCCAGTGTTTTCTGAAGGCTGTAGGACAGGTTTCCCTGCAGGATGAGCTCAGGTTCGCTCCACTCTGCTGCACCACAGTGCTTTTCTCTCCAGCCCACTCTTAGGTCTTGTTGCTACCTGCTTGCTCATTTTGCTGACAGTATTGCATCTAATAATTGCTACAGATCTGAGTTCTGAACCATGTAGAAAAAGTTAATTTTCTTGACCCCAAAATGTTACTTGGAAAGAATGATGTATTTTAACCTTTTTAATTACTAGCTCAGGGCACCCTGCACTGCTGCTTCATGGATAGAGTACGTTATGTTTCTGATCCCATCCTAACTGGAAGTGATGTTCTTTACTTGGATGCAGGCAACAGATTTAAAATAATAAAAAAAGACCCTTTTAAAAGTTGGAATGATATTGTTGTTAACCACATTAGAGTTTAACAGGGCATGAAATAACTGTCTGCCTTGTGGCACTGCCAGATCGCGTTCGCTGTTCTTGCAGCCAGAAGATAAATAGGTATCATGGCCGTCCTGATGGAAAAATACAAAGACAGCCAAGAACACAGATCGTGTCCAAATCAAGTTTTGGGAACGGCAGTTGCTAGGTAAAAAGGAAAAACACGTTGGCCCATAAGAGCACTGGCCAGCCAATTCTGAAATGTTCTTTGTGTGAGTGGATTTTACCACTAATGGCTTTCTGAGTTCGATACAGGGAATGGCTTCTGCATCTGTCCCAGATTTGGGTAAGGAAAAAAAATGGAAGCAGTTGCACTTTGGGATCTTCGTGTTCATCCGTAACATGCAGAGGGATTTGGTGAGCGTGGACAATAAAGAAAAACTAGAAAATCTAGGAAGGGGAATAAACTAATTAATCAAGCAGATGCTAAGTGATAACTGCCTGAAATGCTTAAGCTGCTGCCTCACTTAGCATCACTATGAGTAAGGGGTTCGGATATTACTTGGTTAATCTGGTGCACAATCCTCTTAGAAAATGCTTGATAAACCAGAAAGAAGTTAATTTGGCCTTTCCCTTAATATACATCTTTGTGCAATTCTTTGTGGAATCTATTAAAAATCTCCAGTCCGTGATCCTTTTTAAAATTCTAATTAATTAGGATCCCTGGTGATATGTTCCTAATCAATTCACATAATTAAAAATTTTAACTAATAAATAAGGAGTAAGTTGAAATAGCTGTCAAGTAGTTGCAGCCTGGTGCTATGGGTTGTGGTTGGGCTGCGGTGCGCTTGGTGCATTCGCTGCTCCTTTTTCTACACATCTTTCCAGGTGTCCATCAATTTCACATCCACACGAATTGGTTGCTCCTGCAATTAACGCGTGGTTGTATTTTTGTGGGAAATATCCCCGTGTTTTGAAAGGCTGGCACAGATGCTCTTGCTCTTTATCCTATATTGAAAACAGGTTTGTTCTTTCCAAATCCCATTGCCTGAAGAGAAGTTAGAGCAAATGGCTCTGCTAAATTTCAGGCAGAGCTCTGACCTGCTGAGCCGCTCTGAGCATGAGCAGCACTGCCTGGGATGCGGTTGTGCCAAATTGCTGCCATGAACCTGCTGCCCTACCAAAATCCAGTGGTGATAGCAGCAGCACCACTTTGTGCGCTGCCTCTCATCTCCATACTTGTGTGGAAGAGGAGCAGTGCTGTCTGCTGGACAGTGAGGACCCCCCTCTGCAGCCCCAGTTTGTTAGTGAGGCGAGTTCATCAGTTTTGATTTAGTCTGGCGCCACTGATTTAAGATTGGAGCGATCAGAGAACAAGATGAGCGCGTTAAGCTTGTAGGTTTGAAATGTCTTGTTCTCTAATGTATAGATGTGTGTTATCTCAGTACAATGGGACAATCTTTATGAATTTCTTAAAAAAAAAAAAAAGGTAAAACTTGATCTAAGTCTTATTAAGAGAGAACTCCCTTGTGGGGATGGAGATGCAGAATACCAATTTTGTATGCAGGACTTGTATTTAATTATTATCATAACAGTCCCTTAACACTGTTACAGATTAGTCCACAAGGACACAAATGGAAGTTTTAGATTATTCAATTACTACAGAAACCCTGGAATATCACTGTCAGGACTTGACAGAGGCTCCTTCAGCTCGCCGTGAGCCCGGCCTGGCGCGCGGTGCGATAATGCCGCGATTCGCGCAGCGCTGAGCTGCAAATGCACAGCGGCGACTTCTCCTTTTAGGAGGTGACCAAGTGGGCCCTCCTGCATTATGCAAACAACCCATCGCGGAATATTAAACCAAAGATGTTTTTACCTTTCAATTCCCCATCAGTGAAATGTACGTGTAAGTTATTACTGGAGGGCGAAAGCAACAAGCAACTTCTGAGATCACACGCTCAGCAGCACTAATCTTGTAAACTATTCCTAGGACAGCCTGATCCAATTCGCTTTAATTTACATGGGCTTTACTCCCCCTCAGAGGTGAGCTGCGTAGTTTGCAAACTAATTAGGATTACATTGTTCAGTCAGGCTGCTTAATGCATTCCAGAAAAATACTGCGGAATGGCTTTGGAGAAGAAATTAGAGTTTAATGTGAAAGGCTTTCTGAAAATATTACACACATATGTGCATACATTAACACAAAAAAGCACAGCCCTGAAATG